TTAAATCAAATCTCTTGGCGGAAAAATTTTTTAAATTTCTTTCTAAGAAAACTCTAGCTCATTACCAATAAGCTTAGTTCTCCAAAGGTGTATCAAATTAGAACTACGGCTCTCCTGCTTGCACAAACAGGGACTAGATTGGACATCTTAATCTAGCCCAGTGGTTTTCAGTCTTTAATGTGTATCAGAATCCCTTGGAGGGCTTGTTACAATGCAGATTACTGAGCTGTATTCCCATAATTTCTGGTTCACCAGGTCTGGGGTAGGGCTGGAGATTTGCAATTTCCTAGTTGCTGCAGATGGTCGGGGTACCACACACTGAGAACCACATATGAGAAACACTGTTCAGCCCGACACCTTTTTGCCCAATTTTTAAATGGGATCAGGAACTAGTGAACACTTTTGTGTTAAACACTGTGGGAAATAGGAACACTTTGGCCCCCTCTAATTAGGTCATGATCCTATGAGCACCATGATCCATTTGGTGTTCTGAAATTCTAGATAGTTAAAAAATCTACAATTTAAAAAATTCAAATATATCCTTTAAAAAGCTACTCTGGCAATTATTAGAAATATCAGAACTCTCCAAAGCTATTTACCTTTAATTACTCTCAGAAATCATATTTGTTTAGGACTTGCTAGATTTTGACACAAAGTTCCTGAAAGCATATATTTCAAAAAGGACACAAACCAGTAGTCCAAATACTTAAGTTGATTTTCATGGTTATCTACCATGAAAAACATATCCCTCACTTCTGCAGATTGCAGAAATCCTTATATTCTCTATCAATGTCATATGGCAGAAGTAAGAAATGCAGATGGCTTAATTATAGAGGGCTGATAACCTTGAATTTCAGATAACTTTTGTATTAAAGTGTTCTCATCCCCATAATCCTTATCTTTGCCAAATTTCTCCTCCTATTAGTAACAAAATCTGATGTTCTACATCCTCTTCATCTTCTGAATTAAACTTTAATTGTTCCAAAAGATAGACTGTTCAATCCCTAGAGACTAGGGGCCCAGATCTGTATGTCTCATAAAAACTTTGGATGATTTCATTAATCTTTTTTCTTCCCACTGTCAATTCCCTAGAAGGCTTTATTTGGCCCAGACAACATTCTTCAGATCCATCATTAATCTTATTTTTTTTCCCAAACTATTTTCTTGCTTTCTCAGCATTCTCCAAGCAGAATTCTCAAGCCCAATAAAATACAAATGTTTTGTTCTTGCTATCAGTGTCTTCAATTTTAGTTTTTTCAGTGTTAGTAGCCCTAAGAAGATATATTTCTTGGTGTAGGTGAACTAACACCTCTTAATAAAGGCTGAATTCAATTATGAATAATCCAGGGGATCATTAGTCTATACCTCTCATTTTATGTACCTAATTTAGGCCTCAGAATACAAATCCCTTTTGCATAGATTTCAGTCACAATGCAGGGTAAAAT